ATTATCAGAGAATAGCCTGGACCTACAAATGGAAGAAGATCAAAACAGAACACTTACCCTGGGTATAAAGAACTCATTAGCACTGAATTTATACAGCCACTCATCCAAGAAGTGGAAGAGAAGAGACAACATGTCATGTCCTGCATGGTTGAAGCAGAGAAGATAAGTCAGTTGACTGTCTCAGCAAGAAGTCCCAAATGTTTTTAAGAGTACGTCAGATGTACAGTTTCTGCACTATTAGAAGATTCAGATTAGTGATGCCTCATTAGATTTTAATTAACTGCAACAACATTGCATGTAAAGATTCAAAATTTTGGTACCTTTTACCTCAGGGTTCATATTGTTCCAATACAAAAAGTCAACGCAGCCTTACCTTCTGCCTCTACCTCTACTGTATCCACAGGTTCCACGGTCTCTGTATCAGTCATGTAGCCAAACATGGCCATAACGCACTGCTCAAATGCTTCTTCCAAAGTGTCTCCCCAGGCATGTAGCCTAAAAAGACATGGGATAATTTATGAGACTGTAACCACCCCCCTCCCCAACCCCGAAGTACTATGCAGGTGTGAAATCAGAACATGAGAATTAACGCAGAGGAAGGGAATGAACAAAAACGCTTGCTTTTCTATACCTATGCATTTGGGCAGATTACAGAGATATTCATTCTTGCAGTTTGTGAGAAGAGTTTCTTGGGAGAATATGGAAAATAAATGTTTTACCAGAGAACAAGAAAGGTCTTACCAAATATGGCTAACTGATGTCTATAAAAAAATGGACTACTTGGAAGAAATTTGGTTTAAGGGGAAAGAGGATAAAAGACTTCAAAAGACGCTTCCAAATAAGAGAGGCTTAACCAGAAGCACCATAGCAATATTACATTAGAAAAGAAACCAAACATGTGGCTCTCCCAAGAGTAGAGGGAAAGTAGACCATCAAAAAACCCAGTATGTGGCATTTCATAGTTCCATAAGGTATACATCTGCAACCCGTCTTTGACAGTTACTCCAGATTTATAGCAGTGTAAGAAATAATCAATTTGTCATATTGAGAAATCCCAGCTGCCCATACTTACTGCACATCTGCTGTGTGATCCAAATCTGAGGGGGAAGGAAAAAGAAAAGGCATGACACTATCAAACATATTTTAAAAATCTGGATTAAAAAACCAAAATAAGATACTGTTGTTATAACAAGTACTTTTTACATTCATTTTCAGATGTGAAACAGTGATAACCTATTTTCCAGTATATTAGAAAAAGTTAGCACAGGTGGAATCATGGATTATTTCTGCCAAGCAGAAAAACAGTGCTTAATATAATTACGTCAGTGCCCTACGTGCATGGCACTGTGTGCAAGGTATGGCTGTTGTAACGCAACAGGCTTCTACAAGTTAACTGCAGTAAAAAGAAATTTTAACCAGGAGTAAAGAGTTTTTGCTGAAGTCTGCAGGACTGAAAATTATTCATGCAGAGGATGAGATTTGCAAATATTTCCAGCTCAGTGAACAAATATACCTGTCCACACCCAAAAACACCCATTATGCAAAAAGGAGAACTTTAAAAAAAAGTATGTAATACAAAATAGAAAGCAATCTTCACTAATAAGGTAGGATTAACATCTCAGGCATGTATCAAGTTTTACATGAACAACATTTATATTCATTTAGAGGAATGAGAGAAATGCAAAATTATACCAGGTTGGCAGAAAGAGACCCAACTGGGGATGTAGAATAAATGCCACGCCATGATCACTAACTCAAAGATTGTTCTGATGCTGTTTAGATCGTTCACAAACTATTAATGGATTCTCAACAACAGTCTCTAAAGCAAACAAATTCCAGTGGATGTAAAAAGAAGAATAAAACCTCTTCCAGTTATGGAAACAGCATGACTATTGTAATATGTCACCATATTTCTGCACTGCTATCAAATAAAGATCTGAACACATCCTAAAAATATACATTCTAACAGTAATAGACTGTTAGTATGTACTAGAGTAAGAGACACTGTCCCTACAGACAGACCCTGCTGAAATAGAAAACAGACACTGAATGCTCTCCTGTGAGCGCTTTAAGCTAGCCCTTGGGCTGCCAGCCACTTGCTTGACATGTTCTTAGAAGACATTCCAGGGGTGGAGAAAGGGAGAGATAATGATCTTTAAGTAGTGCAGGTAGGAGAAAAAACACCACACGGAAGACCAACACACTCTTGAATGTCTCTTCCTGTACAAGAAAAATGTACTGCCTTGTAAGACAGAGCTTGAAATTGAAAGTTTTCAAGGCAAAACTTAACTAATTTATTTCTATAATGATTTCTTTAAAAACCATAAACATGAGAGACATTTATCTGTGATAAAGAAAACTGTAGATATCGCATCTCTATTAATTCAACTACAGATGCATCCCACAGTCTAATCGCAGACAATACCAGCATATTAAGAAACCCCACATGTGCCTAAAAAGCATATCCTGCTTTCTTCCTTCCCCTCACGATTGCACTGTCAGACATACGCTGCATCAGGATAGCGTTAAAAATACTCACATTCATATTTCTTATTGAGTGGTGGGTATTTGGCTTTGATAGCCTTCTGCTCCTCTGTCAGGTTGTAGTCCCTCTCATCGGCTGCCATAGCTGCTGGACTTGAGCAACACTCACTCACTTCCTGCTGGTAGGAAACATGGCCACCTCCACGAGTGCTTCAACCCTGCCAGGCTTCCCAGGCGATGCTGCAGTAGTAAAAGGGAGAATTGCCTTTCAGTTCAGTTTTTCACTCGATAGCAGTTTGGTAAAAGTTGTACCCAGGCTCAGGTATGTATAATGACATGCATTTAATATCTTTAAGTTGTTTGCTGTCAAAACTGTCACTGGCAGACGGGGGAAGTTTAGAGTTCAGTCCTACAGCACTTGCCGCATTAACTGATAGGAGTTATGTTCTGCCAGTAAAGCCAAGGGATTACAGTCCTTACAGAAAGAGTGGACTTCGGCCTTTTCTGGGAAGAACCATATTTCTTCCTCCTTGTTGCGTACAACACCAATTCATCCTCAAATAATAAAATACAGTAATAATGAAAAATAATGAAAACAGCTGTAAAGTGAATTAGACTTTCATGCTTCAGGTAACTTCTACTGAATTTTACAGCTGAGTACTCAGCCCACTCGTACACTACACAGCAAGCTGAAATATGCATTGCCTCCAAACCCCCAGACATGACCTTATACATGATTTCTCTTTAGGAAAAAAAAAGTCTAGCTTTCTCTTAGGACAGGGATTGTATTTAAGCCTTCAAGCCTAAAAGCACGTGCATGGCAAATATGACTGTCACACAAATGCAGGGGCTTTCCTAAGTTCCTTTTCTTGCAAAATGTGGGGTGTTTAGTAAAAAAAACAAAAAACCCACCCAAAAATCCCCATTTAAAAGTCTAACTCTCAGACCAGATCTTAGTAGTTGCTCAAGTTTCATACAAGCTTTCATTTGTAAAAAAAACCTGACACAAATTGAACCTGATGCACTTCAGGATAAGTAATTTTCCTCAGACTAGACCTCCCCAGATTTCCAGGTATAATAACCATTCTCACTTTCTTAATATTTTTGTACATTATAACATTTATCCACAGCTGAGCCCAAGACTTCTGTAAATAATGCAAACGATAAGATTTATACACAGCATGTAACATCATGACAAGTTTTAAACAGGAGTGGTTCTTGTGCCAGGCTTAGGAACAAGACTACAGAGGATTTCCAGTTTCTGTTTTGAGCTAAGTGTCTAGGTATGTTACAAAGAGAAGCCTGGAATTGAGAAGCCAGTGCTCCTCTGAGGGAATGAACCCAGATGAACACACGTTTTGATTTTAAACCTGTTAAGCCTTGACTGCAGATGGTCAGATCCACGACTGATTACGCCAGGTTACCCACAGCAGGCCGATCAGAACCAGCTACATAGCAAGCAGGGCTCACCGCTGTACTGAATTAAGGAAAAAGAGAAGCTATTAGTGATTATAGACAACCACCCAAAAGCAAGTTCAGGATAGTCCGAAGGTTTCTGGGCAGCCCTGTGAGGGGGGAGGGCCGTGACGACCAGGCCCCGTCCCCACACACCGCCCACGGGTGCGGTGACCGGAGGAAACTGTGGCCGCAACCACGGGCCTTCCCGCTCCTAAGCTAGGGCCTCGCCCAGGAGGCGCCCCTCACCGCGGGGCGCTGCCGCTTTAAGAGTGAGCGAGGGGCGCACGACGCCCTCCTCTTCCCCTCCGGAAAATGGCGGCTCCCAGGAGAGCTTCAGCAGCTCCCTCTTCCCCCACCTCCGCCTTCTTCCCGGCCGCCCTCCCACGTGACGGCCGAGCGCGCTCGCCTGCCCCGTGTCCCC